TTATTTACCGGCAGCGTCGGTCCGGATGAGAAAAACTGTGCCCTCGGTCTTGAAAACGTCCCTCGCCCTTCGGGCTGGGGCCGTTTTCAAGACCTCGGGCACAGTTTTTCTCATCCGGACCTCGCAGCCGGTAAATAACATATATATATTTTCTCAGAAGTATTTTCTTCAACTTTCAAACTCAGTTTTATAAATATTATTTTCGGAAAAAGCCGTAATATTGACGAAAAAAAGCTGCCATAGCCGACAGCAAAAAAGCATTTTGTCAATTTACCGCGTTTTTCCTCGTTTCCTAGGATACGAGGCCTCGATCACGATTTATGAATAAGGTCTATTCTATGTCTATTATTTCTATGGGAAGAACATATATGCATCTGAAAGGTTCACGTCGGAAAGGCTCAAATGTTTTAATGCTAAAAATCGAGTACGAATTTCATTCATTCATTTAGACCTAACTAGAAATACATGCATGCAGCTACACCTCGCCTGTGTCTTCCAAACATTGATTTAACATGAAGAATTAGTAAATGATCAACACTGAACGTAGGCTTGCGTTTACGTCAGTGCTGCCAGCACGATAATTTTATTATTTAATTTTTCACGATTATTTCATGAAAGATTATTGCCGAAATATGCAGTGTAGGTAATGTCAATAAACAGTTTTTACTTAATAAATAAAACCAAATTAGTTCAAATTGTTGAGTTGAATGTCAGGTTTTCGAATTAATTTGCTTTCCTTTACTTTTTACCTTTTTTCTTAAATTAAACAGGGTAATTTAGCAAATTTTAATACATCTTCATTATGGCATGTTTTACGCAATAAATTAAAGCAACAAAATTCATAGACATTAAATATTCAAAGCAAACTTGCCCTATATTTCACGATTTCCCAGAGTAAATCAATCCTTCTAATTTATTTTAACAAAATTGCTTCAAAGCTCATTGTGTGAAACGTGATTTCCAAATATATGCTTTTGAAAATTGAAATCTTGCTTATCCCACCATTACCAGAAATGTGGGTCAAGATGGTGGACATGACAAAAAATTACGCAACAAAATGGCGTCCGATAATGCTGGGATTAGTATAGGCATATAAGAACTTTCTCAAATATCGCATGAATGAGCCGCAAATCACGCTTACTTGGCATCGTTTCAAATGCTATGCTGATTCAGGAACCTATTAATTCTAACAACTATTTCTAGAATAAAATACACTCACTTCCCGAGCTCACTATTGATATCACATTCACCAGCATAATAACTCCTTATTTTGCATGTGAATCTGACAATACACGCCACAAACGCAGCCTGGTGTACGGAAATATGTCCAGCGAAATCTTTAGCTTGGCATCGCAATTGTTTCAATAATATTCAAAGTTTATATATTCGCCAACAAAAGTATCTAAATTCCGCAGGAAACGACTTCCAAAATCCTCTAAACTTAGCCATTTTATTCATCCCTGATACATGGCCATGTTTCAGCACAACTACGATAAAATTTTCATAGATTGCGTTTCTTCTCCGCCATATTTGTTTTTAAATTAATTATGCTCTTCCCAGTCTCTTACCCTGCCAATCACGCAAATTTATGCACATTTCTCAGCTAAATACATTTATTATACGTGCGTAAACGCGTCAACTTTGGAAAATACTTCTTCGATCGTGCCACAAATAGTGGTTCTGCTGTTGTAAAAAATGTCAGACAATCTTACATTAGTTAATCGCAGTAAAATAAAATAGAATTTAGCCGTCAGCACGGAGTTACTTTCCTCTTCAATATATTAACAACACGATTTGTCTTTGAAGACTATGAGCCGCCATTTTGTTGGTATTTTTTGATGAATCATCATTTATGCGTAAAACCGCTGGTTACAATTGCGGACGCAAAATGTCCTACATTTCTGGTAATGCTCCTGGCAAACAGCCATATTTTTCAGATCAGTGAGGATGTCCACCCCCGGTTGGCCACCAACGCCCGCGATCATTGATGAACTTTACACTTCCCCAATGCTTCTTTTCCCCCGGGTATAAATAGCCGGGAGGAATTAGTACCCTCTCCACGGGCTAACGCCCGCTCCTAGGCCGTATTCTGTGGCACGATATCGTTCAGTTCCGTTGCCCGGGTTCGGGCACTACTTTGAAACAAGATAAATAATTAGGATAAATTATACAAAGTCCAAATCCGCTTGTTTGCACTTCCCAAAAC